AAAATGGTTCGAAAATTCTGCTCTCGAAAAATCCTTTACGAGGTTTCTAACAAAACACATCCTAAATACTTTGACTGGATTTCGGATCACAACAGCAAGAAAAATGTGCTTCCAAAACAAGAACCAAGGAAGGTATCACTCCAAACCACGAGGAAGAGAAGTTAGAGAAGCATCTGCTGAAGGTGCCATTTCAAAAGGTAGAAAACACAAAAAATTCCCGCCAAATTAGTTGAAGTGAAACTGGACCAGCACACAAGGTACATGGATCTTCAATTTGCGATGACCAAACACAATTCTTCGGGAAAACAACAGACAACTCAAATTTGCAATTGTGAAACGAATGTTAAAAACAAGGGCATACAGAAACTGGATTACTGGAAACAAATTTTTCGAAATCTTCAGCAAAATGCGGCAATACGCGCCGCCTCAGTTTGTATTATTTGCGGGAAATTTGATTTTTCGATTAAATAGTAGTACCGTAGTCACTTTAGCGGCAAATACCACGGCTCCTGGCGAGTGTCCAAGTTATGGCATCTTGGAAATTGACATTTTTGGCAAGCCAATGCCACACTTTATCAGACCTTTTTGAACAATTTTATCTGAAACAAGCAGTTTGCGTTTATGTAACTCGTCAGTAACATTTTTGGACAATTCTCATAGTTTACCAGCATCTTACAGTAATGAGAAAATGTTAACAAAACTAGAGCAAAATAAATATTAAATGCGCAGGCTACGATTCGTCACTGGATTTGAATTTATTTTTGTCCTCTAAAGTATAATTTGAATATTTCTTTAATAGTTAGTTGTACATTTGCTGAGAAAGTAGATGTATCAATTCTATACACAAAAAAAAATTGCCAAATGCCTGAAAAGGTTTGTTTTGAGGCGTTGTTTACTAGGCAAAAGTTAATATGCAACACGGACGCGAATCAGAATGTTTTACCACCGCTTTTCGCCACCAATCTTGAACAGTTTTTGAATACCTTGGCAACAGAAATCATCCTAAAAATTCTCTCCGCTTTCCTTCGCAGTTCTCCCCTTTATATATAAAATTTTCAAACATTGAAATAAAACGGTAAAAAATCTTCAGTTAATCGTATGATCATTCTGCTTTTACATTTTATTTGATTCCTGTAAGTTTTGCTTCTGGGCACACCAATGTTGCAGTATGTGTCAGGAATTTATAATTTGTCTTGTGATGGTCTAAGAACTAAAACCTGTCCAGATGAGGAGTTAAAATGCGTCTTGTTAGTGTCCCCTATATTCGTTACCTAAAAATAAGCTTCCAACAGCTACTAGAAGGCAGCAAATTATATAGGAGCCCTGAATGATCTTCCTTAACCTGTTTGAAGTTTCACGAATCTTCAAATATTGTAATGACCTCTTGCCCCCACCAAATTTAAAATTGAAAAACGCGGGGTCTACGAAAATTTAAGTGCAGAAAACGGTGCTGATAATCGGTTAAAAAGTTTTCATTAGGAATTTTAAAACACTCAAAATACCAAAAAACAAGAAGAAATTACTGTCTCACTCGGGTTTTCCATAGGATGTCCAGTAAGTTATTCTGTTACTTATAATAAATTAAATGACTTTTACTTATCATAACAACACCAATAAGAAGAAAAGAAGAAAATTTATGGAACAGGATAAGAACTTATAGAAATAAAAGAAAATACTTACATTAAATAGCACTTACAGAAACAAACAGAAGCTCGACTAATTACAAACGGTGTTACACAAGCCACATCTTTTTAAGCAGAACAGAAAGCTTTTCCGTGGTTTAATAATGTTAGCAACTGATTTTTACAGTAAATAAAAGAAACTGCAAAACGAACACAGAAAACAATAAAAGAAACATAATCTAATTCAGTAACTACCAAGTTATCGGATTTCAAAATCCATTAGGAGAAGGTAAATTTTTTAGCAGCAGCAGCACGTGGTCTCCTTTTTCTACCACATGTTACAGCTCTCTGTTGGTTTTGACTGTCGTCTAAACCTTTGCGCTGAGGCTGAACCAACTTATTTGATGAATATTCGACTTTAAACTGTGGTACTTGAAACCGGACAAGCTGCGGCACATGAAACTTCGGCCACTGAGCAGTTGTCGACGGAACTTGCGGTAGCAGCGAAGACTCATTTCTTTTCCCAAATTTTCCACCCCTACCGCGCATCCTTGACAAGGCATGCAGATGTCTTGATTCGTGCAAATACTTCTAAAGTTTAAAATTTTGAGCGTGAAAAATATACAAGGTTCCTGTTTGATGGGAAAAACCATTTAATATTTTGGGAAAGCAGATTAAGCTAGTTACCACTTTTATACTGTGACAAGGCAGTGATAATTATATATGCAACATAATGTCACCTTGCGTTTTCTAGATATTCGTCCTTGTTTTTCCAATTTAAGCCTTTCTTCACGTCTTTTCATTATTCTGCAAGAAGTACCAATAATTGCACTACCGATGTCATTTTGAATTATTAATTAATAGTTGAACTTTATTAATTGAGTCATGTCTGTATGCGGGAGGGCTTTCAGGCTACAAGAAGATATGTTAGGTTGATCACTTTCCGAGGAGAGGGCTATGGACAGGAGGAACAGCACCTGACTCTGTTTTGAAGTTGGGTTAACCGTTAAAAGAGGATTTCTTCTTGAAAATTGAAGGCTCGCGATTTAACGTTGAAAATGAGCCAAATCCCTAGTGGTCTTTAAAATTTTGTACTCCCGTGCATTTGTTTATTCATTACACCTTTCATGTTCTTTTCTAAAGTTTCGGGTTAACTTGTTTACATCTTAGCTAATATTAGCTTTTTTTAATTTCCGATACTCAACTTTCTTGAATTCGTTAATCTTGAGCAGCACTCTCATCGGACTTGATAGAGACTTATGCCTGTAAAACTTCTTCTCAAGTTATCAATTCACGTTCCAAATATTTAAGCTAGTCTGCCGAATAAACGACCGTCACTGTAAAGCATCGTCAAAACTTGCCGTTCTACCCAATTGCTGGCATATCAAATCCTTCATAAGAATAAGTAACTACGGTGGAAATCAAATTAAGTTCTTACGAACAGATTTGCAGAAAAACAAGTCATTGGCACGGTAGGCAAAGACAAATTTTCAGTTTGCAGATCTATTAGATTAAAGATTTTTTAGGAAATATCAAAGGGGTGATCGCAGAACCGTCCCCTCTATTTAAGATTTGTGTCGGAAATCAAATATACCAAATTTTCCTAAATTTGTTTCTAAACAAGACGTGAACAAAAATCGAGTACAAAAACCGTTAGAATTAAGCTCCAGGTCGCAGAAAGGTGACTGAGAATGTCTTCAAAACGGGTTAGAACTCAGTTTTTTTTTATTGAGGGGAGTGAACTCCATATAGAATAGATTAGTTTCGCTTGACTGGCTTAGAATTATCATTCGGAATTATGGATAGACTTTAGCAAGTCTGGAAATTAAGCTTTTGCTACAAGCACTTCGGAAAACGACGTGTCACTATGACAAATGTTTACCAGCGAAGGTGGTAATAAAGTGAAAGAAGACGCTGAGAATTCGCAAGTTAGTAAATTATTGATATCAAGCAGGGCGTATGCCAAAAGGTCTGAAGACCAGTCTGTTACGTTTGTAGATGCCTCAGAAGAAGCATACTTAGGTGTTTTATATCCTAAAGGTGAAAAACATAAAAGTCATTGCCCGGAGCTTGTGTTCAAAAAACCGCTCGTGTTTTGTTAAGGACACAAGAACGCAGCAGTTTGAGTTAAAGGTTTTTGTACTCGATCCATAAAAAATATAAAGCTAAAAAACTGATGTAAATGCACTTTAAAATAAAGAATGAGAATTCAATCTTAATTTTACCAACTGATTCTTTCCAAATATCATTTTAGATCCTTTAAATTTAGTGCAGGTTAATGTTTAGAGTATTTACTTAAAATTTTTCAAGGAGGAGTTTAGTGTTGACTATATAAAACGTTCACTGGGTGGTTTTCAAAAAGTGATCTCATTTTGTGATTTAAGATAACAAGTTTATCAGCCTCCGCTTACAGGCTTTTCAGGTGTAGCTCTCCTCTGCAAGTATGTTTCCTCTCCCTCAGGGTTTCAAATTTTGGGTTCACTTTTGTTCATACCTTAGTTACTCTTGTTTTCCTTTGGTTTTCTTTCTAGTCGTCAGTTTCATATAGTATTTTCATCAGAATTGATGAAAAAGTTGTCTTTTTGAAAAATTTTTTCCACATGGCCTGCTCAAACTGTAATTCTCTGGTCGAATTTTTCAGATAAAGGTACTTATTTAAGACATCATCTAAATTCATCACCCAATCGTTGTAATACCGCATTCTTGCACAAGAACAGGTAATTAAGATGGAAATTGACTCGAGACTTTACCAGTAGAGTTACAAAAAATAAAGACAGTAACCAGTACTGTAGGTAACGAAGCTAGTTTTCAGTTTACAGTAAAAAATGCACTCGATTGAAGGTCTCTTAAGAAATCTTAGGAGGTCTACCATAGTGATGCTCTCCCAACTTAGGCATCCTGTCGGATTAGCCACGACAGTCTGTTCCAAAAATTTTAAGCGGTAAATCTATGCTTGGATTAATATCAAGAGATCAAACTTTGAAACAAAGAAAAAAAAGGCAACAACTACAAGAGGAAAAAAGTTTTTCTTTTAAATAGAAATACGTAACAGAAACCTTGAAAACTGTTTAGGATTGACATAAAGAGTTGTTTTATCCTTTTCTTTCTCATTCGTATTTGGAACAATTGTTTTCGTTGCTTTCTTGATTTTTTTTCGTGGTGGTAACACAACATGTAAACCTGGTTTTGGTCGCTGAACAACAGACCAGACAGTCAGTAACAGTAAAAGATATAATGGAGACCAGTTGGCATTTTGATTAAGCAGAAACATAGCAAAAACTGAGCAGTTTTTTGATAGTTTTAGTGGGATTAATAGAAGATAAATTAGTTTTGTTACATTGTTACCTGAAGTGGCACATCTGATAAAACATTCGGTGGCGCATTATTTGTTCCATCTGAAAACCCTTACAAATGAAACTAAATTTTTTTGCACTATTTTGATTAGGTATACACTTTTAAATATCTCTATTTTACCAATCATCTGTATAGCTGTAATAAAGTAAAGGCTACTTATGGAAAGAAACAGATTTTCTTTACAATACCTGAGAGGTGCTGATAAAGCAGGAAACTGGAATGAAGAATAAGAATTAGCGATTGCTCGAAGAAATCTCACTTAAAATTCTTTCTCGAATCATTTTTTTTGAAAATTGAATGAAAGAACGTCTGACTGTGACAATTAACGCTCTTAAAGTTGTTTAAAAAAACACACTTGTTTCTCTACATTAGTGTGAAGTAAGTCAAATAAGTAACATTATTTAATCACTTAGTTTTTAACTATCTAATGTTTTTTGCCTTGTTCTCTAAAACATCACATTCCCATAGCTCCTGACCGCCTACCTCCAATCCTACAACTATTTTTAGTTTAACTGAGTCCTTTTTAAATTGCCACTTGCCTGAAGGTTAAAAAGCGCAGTTTTTAATTAGAATAAAAAAA